AACACTTTTGTTATGGAATTTCAAAGGCTTGGCATTGCAGGCAACTTTTTTTAGTTTTCTTTTTTACACACAATGACTTACATAATTATTGATATGCTGATGAGCAGAACAATGTCGAAATGTGATAAACTCATCAGTGCTGTCGAAAGAAAAATGAGTAATTGCAATGAAGGCAGTAATGAAGGCAGCAAATCGGGTGAGAATTTTGTTTTCCATCTTTTTTGGGGGATTGGTTACAATTGATATTCGCGCATGCGCAATTAATGCAATTATCGTTGTGGTTTTTTTTTTGTACTTCTCAAAGTTAAATTGAATTTCTGATCAATCATTTTCTACTTCTTTGCACCTCTTTGAAGCAAAAAATTAAACGCGCGCTGTGACAAACGTCTATACACTGCTGTGTCGCAAATGTGTGCATATATACATACATATGTAGTATGTATGTATGTACATCCCATCACCTACTCCGCCCGCTCGACCACACCTAAGTCTAATAAGCAAACATTTATTGGTTATTGGATGGCTTTTTTTATTTAATTTTGCTTGAAACTTTTGCCTCTAACACCTTTTTTATGTAAGTACTTAATGTGAGCTATGCAAATATATGAGCGAACAGGGTGATTCAATCGTAACTTTAATTATGTTTGAATATATAAGTAATGATATTGTTGATTTATCGTCAAAAATATCATTTAATTTAACGAAACTAACTGCTATATCAAAATTGATTAATACATTAGTGACAATATCGATAACAATACCGATCAAGATAGCGATAGAAGTATCGAGTATGAGTTAATAACGATGCTGACATAGCCAATTACATCGATAAATATTTCGATAAGTTTATCGATAATTATGTCTATAAATTTACTGATAACTATTTTTTTTTTTACATATTTATTGATAGTTATTTTGATCAAAATATCATTAGGGGTATCGATAAATTTATAACATCATTGTATTTATCAATGTACTACTAAATTTCATAAAGATCTCTAAGAGGTCCTTGCGGGCCTTGTCGACGATGCCGATATCTCGGAATCGGCTACTTGAATAGATTCTAGACACTCCGTTTATATATAACGCATCATTAAAAATGTCATAGGGATCTAGGGACCTGTAATAATATAAGTTTAATACTATATTATAACATTGGCTTACAACGCCAATCATATTTCGATAAAAATATCGTTTAATTTATCGAAAGTTATCAAATTTTATGGATATATTAGTTACGATATCGATAGCAACGACGATAAAAATATAGATAAAAGTATCGAGAGTTTTATTAAGTTAAGTATAACGATGTATTATGGAAAAGTTAATGGATGAACATTCCGATAAACCCATCGATAAATATTTGGATAATAATAAAGTTTACTGCATCGAAATGAAGTACGATATGAAAATTTTATAATATAGTAGCTACGATTCCGATAACAGAGTCGATAAAAATAGCGATAAACTATTTTTTCATAGACAAATATATCGATAAATAGTTCTATAAATTAATCGATAACTAGTGCATGCACAAATATGTAAACATGATTGTTTGTATATATCGACGGCTGAATGGAAGATCGGCCTATCTAAGCAGCCGGCTCTATCTCAGAAAACTTTTCAACAATGCCCTACTTCATAATTTGTATGAAGAACGCCCTATCTCAGAATTTGGTTCAAAAAAGGACTGTCTCAACTGAAAATATATTGAAAATATGTTGAGATAGGCCATTTTCGGACTGAATTCGGAAATAGGGCGTTCTTGAAAAATTTTTTTGAGATAGGGAGCTTTCGCACCGGCTGCTGAGATAGGTCGATCTTCCACTCAGCCGTCGATATGTAATATGCATCAAATCCTAGGCAAAGCAATCTGGGTCCAAAATTCAAATCAGATCATTTCGGAGTTTCAGACGTTCATTTAAATGTTTTATTAAATTTTTTTCACCACCCTTTATACATTCACATGTACTTGCGCACACATTTGTCCATCAGACATTGCAACCCGTTTTTTTCCACTGTGTAAATATTTGTTCACGCTTAATTCTTAAATGGCTTTAAAGCCAAAGTTATTTAACGTAATTTTTCATCGTCTTTTAACTATTCTTCTTTTTTCTTCTTTGACTACTTCGTATGCAGTTAAAAATATTTCGTTTTTAGGCGTTAAATTGTCAGCTGTTATGAGGTGTGTACCAGCTCCGCTTGATAGTTTATGTTTCTGTTGTTGTTGTTGTTGTTGTTGCGACTGTCAGCAGTCATTCGACTAATTTATGTGCCACAATATACGGTTAATGCATGCGTGCGAACTCCTGCGGTGTATTTCATGTTAATACTCGTATATCGCATACTTGCAACGCATTAGCCAAATTATACAACATATTTTATGACACCTTTAAAAATGTCATGGCATATTTGTTGCGAGAATACACATGTGTCTTTATGCATACACATTCGGGTTTACTCAGGCTTGGACGTTTGTTAAGAAATTGCGATTTGAGAGTCAACAAGTAGTGATTAGAAGAAAAAAGGTAAATTTTCATTCGTTAAGAGTGTGCAATAGCTTAGCATAGTGGATATAATCTGAGCTCTATAAATTAGTTTATCGCTCTTTCTCCTTGCGTTTACGAAGAATATTCGCTTAGATAGCCTTTCAAAGAATTAATAGGCAGGTTGGCCACACAAGGAATTCTTTTAAAAAAGCACCTTCTAAGAATACAATACCATTCAAAACATTGAAGGACTTTGCTCATCGAAATTCTACATTCGTTGCTACGAAAATCGAGGAGGCTAGCCCTCTTAAAACTTGTGCAGCAGACGATCCTCACGAATGACGCACGTTATCGTCTAACGACCAAGAAAATTTCTGGAAATAAGTAAGACTAGTAGTGAAAGTGGCATTTATTTAAAATGTCAACTTTCCGCACATATCTTCTATTAATGTTAGCACTTTCAGTACCTAGATTTCGATCCGTGAACGGATGTTACATTTCGAGCCCTGTTTAAGCCGTCGCAAACTTCAACCGTTGTTCGTCCCAGGAGCAACACACCTTATGTTGTGTTTGTGAGAGTACACTCCAACCGAACTCCACTTCGTTTAAGCGTAATACAAGTAGGGATGGAACTACCTCAAGTCGTGTACAGCCTTTAGGTCACACACGCTTTGTGATCCCATGTTACTCAAGTCAAACGGTAATCACAGCTTCTACAATGAACCCCGCGCAGTGCACCGTTGCCTCCTAGCACCCAAGCAGCTTTCCCGTCTCAACGGACCTAACCAAAGAGACGAATTTGCACAGCTACTCAACTTTGTTTAGTTGCACAGAATACAATATGCTCTAATAAGATCACAAGCGAGATAATGGTAGTTGCCTAACGTACATTGCACTCTACATCTTACAGTACCGAACGACATAGACCGCAGGGATGCCATATCTACTAGGATGTCCGGTCAGGTAAAGTCGAGTCCAAAATATTCAGTGCTTTCACAGCCCTGTCATCTGCTTACCGGCAGGATAAATGTATGTACGTGCTCTCCTCAGAGTTGAAATCGGCATTGTAGTGAGTGACTTGGACGCGCTAGACGATATTTTGTGTTATGGGTAATTGCAGAAGCTCGCAACTGGCGTATTGGTCGCTGTCGTTAGCATCGATCTTCTAGCCATAGTATTATTTCCTCATAAACCAGCTGACTTTGCTACCAAGGATCATCGCGCTATATGTATAACAACTTCAACAAAGCTGATTGTCACGGCTTCGCGGAAGTTAGCTGACGCTTAACATCACAAACTACCAGGTGTCTCGTCCAAATGGCGTTGGATCAGTCAAAAGCGTTTGACACCGTCTGCATCTCTCTCCCGCAGGCAATAAAAAGGTGGACTTCAGTAGTCAGCAACATTTCGAAATCAAACCTCGAAACCTAGAAAATTTAAAAAGGGTGTGGTGGTTTCCCCGATTCCCTTTAATATCTATATATCGAAGTTCCCCTACCCAGCCCCTTGAAGCAGTTTCCACAATCTCATACGCTAATTATTGCTCGATATTGGGATCCAAAGTAAAGCGCTCTCCGATGATTTGACTTCATCAACGCGAGAAGCCTTTCTTCCCCCTCACTCGCCCCCACGAAATTTTCGGCGACCATTTTTACCACTGTTTAAGCGACTTACAACACCTGGTGCCTAGAGGTATGCTACACCTTCATTCATTTACATACATACATATCTGCAAGAAAATGTGCATATGATAATAATTCTGGCACCACAAACCATGGTTAACTGGCTTGATGCATCCCGCCAAAAACTTTTCCGGAGGTTTATAAAAGGCAAAGGTCACAGCATTACAACTATTCAGGACTCTGTATCACTTTCCGTATACGAGGAGTGGTAGCAGATGTTTACCATTGATCACAGTTTACGTCCCACATTTTTTTACGTAAATAAATATCCAAGTGCTCAAAGAAGCACAACATCATGCTTATTAATGAATTTATGGTTGGTTGAGGAGGCAACTATTCGAAATTCTAGATCAGATCCAGAGTAATGTACTCAACACAGTACAGATAGGCAATTAACATTCGGCCACCCTCACTACCTCCGACCTGTGAATGTCATCATCGGAATTCAATCACCATCAGTTGCAGAAGAACACCTTCAGCTGCCTTAGGATCCACGCTGCTCTGGCACAATTACGGTCTGATTACTGCAGCAGGTTAAACTCCTTTTTACCCATGCTAGACCCCACAGTATATGCTGCATGTGAAGGTTCCCCCCACGACCTTTGCCTTGGCCCGACCACAACGAAGCAGCACGTTTCGCGCACCTAGCGTTAATTAAACTTGACGACAGCGATTGCAGGATTAAGCAACAACTTCACCTGATTAAAAACCAGTCTACCCGTATTTATAAATTATTTTTGTAAGAATAGATAACTAAGCGTCGTTCTTCAGAAATCGCTCCATCAATATTAACACTTAAAGATAGCAAAACACGTTCAACTAAACTCACCTGCTGCTTAAAACGCTTGCTGGCGCTTCTCTTCAACGTATTGCAATTCGCATTTCTCGCCGCGCGATCCACCTCATCGTCTGCAGCAGTAACGCCTATACCTTGAGGCGGCATGCAGCGCTTACTCAGCTCCACCAGCTCCGAAACAGGTTGTACCTGCCCCGAAAAATAAAACAAGTTTAAGAAATACGTTTTTTTTTTTGTAATTTTCCAAACCCACTCACCTCCACAGTAACCGAATCGCCGCTGTTGCGTATCATCTCGATGATCACCTCACGCGACAACTCACTCACCGGCGTACCGTTCACTTTGAGCAAACGATCGCCAGGCAGCAGTCCAGTCGCACCACCACCCGCACCCGGCTCAGCGAATATGACCGGCTTGAATGTGGGTGCGGTCAGCGATTCGGCGCGATCCAAACAAATCGCTTTGCGTAAACTGAACCCAAAATCATTGCGTGGCGACTTCTGACGCCTAATAACGAGCTCACGCGCCGGCGGCAGTTGCACCAACTTAATCGGTGGCAATGGCAATTGCACATCCTCGAATGCGTGTACACGCGACCACCGATCGATGCCTTGCGATTCGCCAATAGGACTCAGCGAAAATGGTGGCGTGGCAAAGGAAGAATTTGTCGTATCTGTGAGACTGTCTGCGCTGGGTGATGGCGAGGTCATAACACGCAGATTGCCACTATGATGCTGTGGCAGTTGTGGTGCATAGCGCGCTGTTGTGGGTAGGGTCATGGCGCGTTGTATGCCCACGTTGCCACCTTCGTCGCTGCGCAGACTCTCGACGGAGGTGAAGGCGGTGCCGCCGCTGGTGTGTGGATTAACGCCGCCTGCACTACCGGCGCCACCGACTACACCACCCATGCTACTGCGTCCGGTAGCAGCACCACTAATGCTATTGCTGCGACTACCTTCGAAGGGCAATTCATTTTGCATTGTGTTGCGCATTACAAGCAGTTGTGCCTCGGGCGATGCGATTGTTATCTCTTCGTGTACGTTGGATATGTTGCTGCGTGAGCCCTTCAGTATGCCACGTTTTGGAGGCTTAGGCGGTACGGGAGGCAGTGAACGATGCTGTAATGGAAGAACATACAAATGTGGTTAGTTTGAATTTCGTTTTGAGGTAGAGAGAAATAAATGCATTATACATAGATGAAATGTTTTGGAAGCTTTGCAAAGGATGCTGTGGTATACGCCAAACTGAACTAATCGCAAGTGAATAATGGGAGATGCTTTTCATATTACCTTCTATTCTGAAATATAAAGACGAAAATTAATTATTATTTTTATTTTCGGTCAAATTCAAAAGCAATGTCCAAAGAAACGCTGCCAATTTTCCTCGAGCTTGAGTGTTTACAACGGGAACAGAGGCGCTTGGAATCATCCCATAAACCCCCTTTAGTCTTACGCATAGAAAAAGAGGCCTGTTGAAATGCCCTGAGACTACCAAACCTGACCGCACCAAAAGTGGAGGCTCCAGGTGCCATCTGAGTATCTTAAAACTATTCATAAAAGATTCCATTGTCTAATTAACAAGCATAACCCAGATGATAATTTAGGTAGGTGAAGCTATTCTAAAAGACTTTCCCAAAAAGGGCTGCAAAATTGCTTCCTTGTGTTGCTTCTAGAAGGGATTTTCCTATTTTTGATTTACGCGAGTGTAATGATTATATTATTCGGCGTCACAAATTAATTTTTATGTACTTTAAAGATGTATGGATTTTATGAATTAAAGAGCTATGGGTTGCGAAAGCAGAAGTCCTTCAATTTGTCCCACTCCTTACAAAAAAAGAAAGTAGATAGCAATGTGAAGTAGAAGGACACTTGGCGCTCGGGAAGGCTTATCGGAAGGGCTTTCAACTCCTGAAATTACCGATGTTATCCTTTATTAAGCCCTACTAGGTTATAATTCATAAAAAAGGCTTTTGAGAGGCGGTAAACACAATGATCAGCGAAGGAATCCTAAGGGCTTTATCAACGAAAGGGCTAATACTATCGCAAAGTTCGAGAACCAACGGAGCCCGTAGGGACCTCAGCCTTCATGTGGCCTATCCAAGGGATACATGGAGGAGTTTCTACAAAGAAGAGAAGACTTTCTCTGAACGAGGCGGGAGTATCAAAAAACTATCTCTGGATGACCGATAAGGCACTGCCAGCTTGGGTACCACTTTTGTAAAACGTAACTTTCTGAGGAGAACAGCAAGTTTTGTGGGCCGTTGCAGGAAACCCCAGATACCAAGTGATAAGTAGTATTATTAGACTTATACACCTTGGGGAAAGATTATCGTCTCCAACCACAATCCGTAGCTTGACACTCTCCAACGGAGTTAACAGCAATAATCAATAAGAGAGAGCTTCCTTGAGAATAAACATTTATTATAGGATAGATGTTCATGGGCGTAGCCAGGTAGGGGCAGGGGGGTGCACGAACCCTCCCTCCCCCCTAGCTTTCAAATTTTCCTTATATATATATAAAATAGTACCCTGAAATGCCAGCTTAATAGGGTCGAGCCCCGAACTTGGCTCTAGGTAAGAAATGGGGTCTTAAACCCCACATTGTACACTGGATTTATACAGCAGTCGTACGTTCTACGGCGTCACAGACTGGTGGACATCACTGGATAAGTCGGTCGCTAATTGCATTGCTTGCATGCTAAACACAGAATCGCTGCAATCCACGGCTACTAAAGTCTTGGAAACACTACTAAACATTATACCCGTAGACCTTTTTGAGAAGCTGCAATGCAGTAAGATTAAGTACAATGTCATAATGGAAAGACACCAGATTCGACCACACCATCGTTCTTACCAAGTACACCGATACTTTTAGACTGCACTACACCGCCTCTCTAGCTCGAGAGCAAGTTCTCCACTCGTATCCATTCGAGGAAGGATAGGGATTCGATTCGGACTGAGGCTTAAAAGATAACCCTACAATCGTCTAAACGAATGGCTCTAATTTGAATCTAAGAGTGGGATAAACTCGAAGTACCTCTCCCACCAGATCTCTGTTTTAGGCTGTCAGACTACTGCAGCGTATTGTAAGCAGAGCTCGCGGCCATAAAAGAGACTGCACTTTGGCTTATCGAATCTTCTCTCAATCTGCATTCAGTACTCCGATATCCAGGTAGCTGTTAGGTCACTGGATTGCTGTTAAACTTTGTAAAAAATTGCGATAGAATGTAAAAAAGTGCTCAACGAGATAGATTCAAATTCTACTATCCACATTCTGTGGGGCGACTGGATAAAAACTTCGACAAGATTAGATCCGACGCACTCATTCGATTAGAAGGCCCCTAATAAAGCAAGTGACCGGTATTATAACGGGTCACTGCTTGATGGCAAGTCATGCTATGAAGAATGCTAGAATGGGCCTGCCGGCCAATGACTTCCGTCAAAACTGCAGCGGCAAGGAAGAAATTGAGACTGTAGAATACTACCTTTGTCACTGCACTAATCTTGATCTCCGAGGACAGTATTCCCGGGACGATGGTTGACGATTGTGATGATTAACTATTGATGAATGCCGTTTAAGGCGCGTCTAAAGTGCATAACTGATACCTAGGCTCTGAAAAGTATGTACTGTGGACTAGGTTGTTCGATTATTCGCCTTTTTTCCAAAACCGGCTTTCAAGTTAATCGAAATATTGAAATTTTAACAAAAAAAAAAATCGTTCATTTTTTTGAAATCGGAAAAACCCGGACAAACCGGTTTTATTTCACATAGATTTCATGCAGCGAAAATGCTTATGTTGGTGTGGAGTCATGACAAAAAATACAATAAAGCTATTAACATTAAAGATAGCTTTTATTTAGAAAAGAGCAAGGTAAAACAAGTTCAAAATTTTTTTTAGATCAAAAGTAAAACAAATAATAATCAGTGGAAAACGTACGTTTGGTCCTATTTTAACATTTCTTGCTTTATTGCATTTTTTCTCACTTTTCGGATATGAGTAGTGCTCTTGCCGAAGAATCCGAGTGCTTAGATGTACCTGCTGGTACTCGGGAGGTCCATAGTTCAATTTCTGGTCCCAGCAACATCAAAAAAAGGCAAACCTCCGAGTGTACTTCGTCGGAGCTGGAGTTAAAGTATAGATATCTCAATATAGGGGTTTCCTTTATACCGGAAAGCCCTGAAAGCTTCGAAAGAACTCAAAAATTTTATTCAGAAGTCAAGCTTTGTATGAAATGAAAAAACCGGTTTGTTCGATAAAAAAAAAATCCGGTTCATTCTATTTTCAGAAATCAACATTTCAAAAACACCGTCTATAGACATAAAAAAACCCGGTGGAAACCGGTTTGGAAAAACCGAGTTATTCACCCTACTGTGGACAAAGTGTCTGTCAATACTAAGTTGGCTTAGTACTAATTCGCTCAAAGGCTTGCTTTCAAAAAAGCCGTAAACACACTGTCAATATTTCTAGCTAGAATACATAAGACAGATTTGCTTAATCTCTCCAAATAAATCGCAATCACAACGAGTGTAGTTAGATAGAGCACAAAAGCTTCCGCTAAATCACTTCATCAGTACTTGACTCCTATTATATTTACCTTTCCGTTCCCACTCGCTGTGCTGCCCGTCGCCGACAGCAAGGAATGTAATACACCCGCAGCAGCTCCTCCAGCACCTGCAGCAGCCGCACCAGCGCCATTATAACGACTCTCAATGGTGGTCGTCACAGATGCGACAATTTCTTCATTGCCGCGATCCAATTCATAAATGCTATCACCTTCGCCACTAACTTCGGCGTTCAACGCCGCACGGTCGATATCCAGCTGGGCAAAAAACTCCGCACTATAATCAGCTGTAATGCCGCTAGGCAATTTCTCTTTCTCTTTGCGACGACCGCGAATTTTTAGCGAACGGCGTACCTGCGAAAGGGCGTCACATCAAAGAGAGATAAAACGGAAATAATTTTATTTTTCAAAGTTGGAAATTACATATTTACTAAGTAGATACACCTACAGACATACCTCATCTAGACGCAGCAGCTCCTCAGTGCTCATGCTGCCCGAAAGCAGACCTGCATTTTTAGCCTCTTTACGCAATTTCTTCTCACGTTTGCGACGCTCTTTCTCTTCGTCGCCACCGCCGCTGCTGCCACCACTCACCGAGGATACGCCCTTTTTCATGAAATTGAACATCTTATGGTTGTTATTTTTGTTGTGATTGCTGTTGCTCCACTATGGATAGTGTGTTAGTTATTGCTATTTGCTATTGAGGAAGTGCAAAAGTATGTGGAAAGAGTTGTATGTGGCGCAACGATTCGCTAGCTACTCGTCGTTGCTGATTTTGTTAGCGTCGCTCGTGCCGCTTAGTTGGGCACAACCGGCGAGCTCAGCTGCTGGACGCCACACATGCGAAGGGCAATCAATAGTGCTGTTGGTTGACCCTTGCTGGCCGGTGCAAACTAAATGCGAACACGAAGGTCGTCAGCTGCTATGCGCTGCGCCGCTAATGTGTGCGGGGGATGCGCGTTGCGGCGCAGTGTGGTGCGGTGCGATGTTTGTGAGGGTGGTAGGGGATGCTTTCACGCGATTTTTACTACAATTCCAGGTATAATTTTCAAACAGCAGCCGCCTTCCTTTTGTAGTGCACCGATTCCGCTTTTGGTTTCACAGTTTAAGCACCGACGACTGCAAGATAGGAGAGAAAAAAAAAACAAACAAAAATTGTAAATTAGAGGCGTGGCTAATTTATGTTGTACATAAATGTTTATTTCTGTTAGATATATTTATCACCAATTTTTTATCACTAATCAATTGAGAAGAAGTAGAGCTGTCTGGCCGACCAGACAGTGAAATTGCATCTGTGCAGCGCTACAACTCTCGCTGTTGCCGCTCGACTTGAATTGACTCGACTCGCTCGACACCACACATCACACAAACGTCAACTGGAAACAAGCGGTCACAAAAGAAAAAACACAACACTAATATACAACCCTCGGTGGCAAAGATGCCACATACCGCACGAGTGTAACTGATACAATTTCACTTTTACACTTTATTTTATTTTTTTCATTTGCATTTGCAATGCAATTTTCCACATTAAATTCAGCTACTTGGTGCATCTATGAATGAATGAATGAATGAATGCATTATGATTACCCATTATTGTGTTATTGCATTATTTATGCGCGCAGTGGTGTGATTTTTTCGCATGCCACATAGCACAGAGCAAAGGCTTGCAACTTTTCTTTGATATCCATTCATGCAACGACTGCAACTGATGTACATAGAACGAACGCAACTAATTCGATTTGTAGTGCAAGTTTTCCGGCAAGGCAAAGTGAAGTGAAAAATTTAATAAAGCAATGTAAAAAGGAAAAACAAAAGCAAATTGTGAATGCCATGCAAAACGCAAACGAGCAACGGCGAGCAGCGAAGAATGACTGGCGGCTGGCGTGTGTGAGATGGTGCGAACCCAAACTCCGGTTTTCCACCCACGAAAAATACTCGTCACAATGGAGGTATAGCACCAGCACAAATCGAAAGACAGCAGCGCAAATAAACGCTGGCGCTGTAGGAAAATAGTTTAAATCTTGACAGATCTGCTGCCTCAGGGCCTGAAAGGAGAACAGCTGGCAGCAACTCGCATCCTAACTTTGAGACAGTGATGGGTGAAATTGCATTAACATAGTTTATTGCAGTAAACACCAAAGGAGCATTACAAATGTAGTGCCGAGAAGGTCCGAAAGATGCCGAAAAATCCCCGTAATACCGAAAATTCCTGAAAAACGAGAAATAATCCCAAATATTCCAGAAAGGTAAAACACGAAGAATTTGTATAATGGAAACTTTTGTAAATACAGAAATAAACCCGAAAGGCGACGGAGAGTTCCGAAAAATTCTGAAAAATCCCGAAAAGTGAAAAACAACTTTGTTCTCCCCAGAATACCGAAAATTCTTTAAAATCCAGAAATAATCCCGAAAAGTCCGGAAAGGTAAGACACGAAGAATATTCAGAAATTATCACGAAAAATTTGCAAACTACTGAAATTTTTTTAAAGAAAAACCCAAAACCGACGGAGAGTTCCGGAAAGTTCTGAAAAAAACACGAAGAATCCCGATGAGTTCAGAGGAAGTTCTGAAAATACCGAAGAACCAGAAATTTTCCCGAAAATCCCGAAATTCCCCAAAAATACCGAAAATTTCTCAAAATCCAGATATAATCCCGGAAATTTCTGGAAAATTAAACGCGAAGAATTCCAAAAATGCCAAGATTATTCCGAAAGGTTTCAAAAATTTACAAAATACCAAAACAAAAATTCAAAATACAGAAATAGTCCCAAACAACCGACGGTCCCGAAAAATTCGGGAAATCGCAAAAAATAAAACACGAAGAAATGTTCAAAAGAAGATCAGAAAAAGTACTAAAAATAGCGAAACGGCTCGAAAATCCAGAAATAACCCCGAAAAGTTTACCCAAAGTATAGAAAATTCTTGAAAATCCGGAATTAATCCCGGAAGGTCTCGTAATAGACCAAAACGTAAAACACGAAGAATCCAAAGAAGTGTGAAATCCCCGAAAATATCGAAAAGTGTAGATAATAACGAAATAATCTTGAAATGTCCCGAAAGCTCCGCGCAAGTTTCAACCAAATTCATTATGAATTCAAATTGAATGGCACTGAAATTCACTCGGAATTGAATTGCAGAACCTGCCGGAAATGTTGCGAAAATCCAGAAGCAATATCGATAATTAAAACATAAAGAATCCCGAAATGTCCAGAAGAAGTTCTGAAAAAGTACCGAATATCTCGAAAATTCAGAGGTAATCCCGATAATCCATAAATTATACCGAAAGTCTTCTCAATTTACCGAAAATTTTTGAAATTCCAGAAATAATCCCGGAAAGTCGCGAAATATCCCATAAAGTAAAACACGAAGAACCCCCAAAAGTCCAGAAAATACCAAAATAATCTTGAAAAGTTCCGTTAGATCCGAAAATTTCGCATTCAGCTTCGATACATCCGTGAATAAATTTACGGGACTATCAATTCTAAAAACCACCTAAGCCTGCCTTATTTGCACCTGATGGGGAGTGGGTAGAGAACTAGGTACTCGCACCCAGCACCGATATGAAGTGATCGGTTCGTACCGGAAGTCTGCATTCCTAAGCCTTATTTAAGGGTAGTGGTGGTCTGAAGCGCACCACTGACTCCTATTAAGGCCTTGTCTAGTGCGTCCCTCAAACAAGGACATCATACAATAAATTTCGCTTATGGTATCATAATTACTGGCTTTATCACCCGCGGCGAGTGGCCTTAGCTATTGTCGATGGACCCTTCTTTGTCGCTTGCTTGACGTCCGGCCTGCAGGAAACCAACTTGACTCCAGACACACAAACTTATTTTGCTTTCCGTTGTTCTGGAAAATAACTGCACGTAGGAAGGGAATATTTCCAACATTGTCGGCCTGAGATCTTCAGAAACTATCCGACTAGCCAGAGCCTGCAAGCAATGATCTAAGCCGTCATCAAGCCGATGTGGCCTGCAGCTCCTAACTTTAAAAACGGACTGTAATCGATAATCTCAAAAGTAACAAACGTTGAGCTCTACAATAGGTATAGTCAATACCACCGTATTAATCCCAACAACTCCACGCGCACTCGGCAAATGCTGGACCCATGGGAATCTACCATTAAACGCAACGTACCCTCTTAAAGCTCAAAGTTCCTACAGGGTGGTTAAATATACGAGCATTCCTGTGTATACATTGCGAAAAATCAGCACGCATTGATGAGGATGTCAAACAATGGGTGGAAAATATGTACCACCAAACAGGTCAACCAGCTCATCAGCGCAGCTCATGCACACACACATCTAGATGCATATAATACATACAAATTTAATATAGACGTATCAGCGCATGGGTCGGTCTTTCGGTCGTCGCTATCACCGGCATACAAGGCGCCCCACAAGCCCACAGTTGCTGTGCAACAGACAACAAGACACCAACCAGCCACGCAGAGCCAAACAAATGGAAATGGCAAAAAAAAAGCGTTAGCCATTTACACAGCCAGCGATTGCAGCAGCATTGGGGAAAAGAAAATTAGAAAAAAGATAAAAGAGATACGAAGAAAAGTCAAACGAAAGCAATAACATCAATGAACAAAATCGAAAAGCAAACAACGACATCAAAGCTAAAATGCGGAATAAGAACAACATAAGCAAACATCCACGGCAGCCGTGATGAGTCCGGAACTAACTGAACTTTGTGTGAAGATTACGTTTTACAAGAATAGACCTCAGAGCACGCGCCCTCCCCTAAAGAAAATCACACACGGCGACATATACAAATGGAGAATGAGGAGGTTGCCGCTTGGTTGAAAAGATTTTCACATTCATAAATAGCTTTGAATTCTTGTGCATGAAAATTACGAAAAAAAATCTATAAAGGAATAGTCGGCTGTATAGGCACAAATTTGGTAAAGAACCTGTTTCAAAGGATTCAGAGTATCGGAATCAATTATCTTGGAGAGCTGCATCCGTGGTCGAATGATTACTCGTTTCGACTCGAATGAAATATAATGGAAGCTGTTTTCTCGCAAAAAAAAGTGTTTGAAGTAGCGTAGAAGTCTTTAAAGTATCCTGATTCTCCAGCGAATCCCAGCAGATCCGCCAATGGAGTTTTCCTAAGCTATGGTAGGCTCTTGAGGAAGTGGTCCCCTAGACATTTGGGTCGTTTTCTGCGGAGTGCAGCGCACTCTGAAAGGAAGTGTTAGACGTATTATACCTCCTGTTTATCCGTGCAGCTTCTACGGAAATCCGAACCTCGCGGCCATGTGGCCAATGGCCCAGTATGCTGTTCCTATGCCTAGGAGAGGCCTAACGTATAACTCCGTATTCTTGGATATTTTTCCATCTGCTGTTGGTGACAACTCTGGTCACTGTCTCAACCTCCGAAGACCGGAATCGCCAGGGAGGTTTTACAATCTGGACCGTTTCACCTAATGTTATATCAGATCACTTTCAGGCACACTCGTGCTCTTCCTCATTTCCCGGAAGACCACTATGTTCCGGGGCCTAGTAATGTTTGGTTATCTGTGCTTCTCTCTGAGATCTTCGGCATTCCTTGACGTATATTGAATGTGTCGTTGCCGAACGTAAGGCTATGATGGCAGCTTGACTGCCAACAACGAAGCCAAGTTTAGATGGAGCTAGGTCAATCATGCTAACCAGCTTTGCCGCTATGTCAATTGCATATACCTTAGCCTGGAAAGCGCTCCAGAGATCTGGTAGTCTATAGGATTCTATCATAGATAATTCCTGGGAGAACACGCCAGATCCTATCCTTATGTCCATTTTGGAGCCATCCGTGAAAATGGGGATTTCGTCGTCGTTTATTTGTAAAGATTTGTCGCAAGATGTGTACATTTTGGCAACCACAGAGTGGTGTTGTCTAGAAATTTTTACTCAAAATGAGTTCAGCTTAAGTCAAAAAAATCTAAACTACCCCACTTTAAGCTAAGAAGGAATTTTTGGTTCTACTTTCGGAAAGTTCAGCCATCGCGAGAACACCTCCGCAAAAGGAAAGAGGCTGATTGACTTCACTGCTGCATAGAACTTCGTGCTTAGTGGTACCAGACACCAGCATCGAAGCATACACAAAGGCACTTGATAACCCTCTCGCTT